AAAAAACCAACAGCACCACACAAAATAAAAAAAGGAAAAAGACAAGACAAAAAACCACCAGGCTCTGCCAAAGGGAATGAGCATTTCCAGCCACCTCCCAGTGCGATCCAACATGCTCGACTCTCATAGGTTTCTTTGAAAAGACTTTGACTCAGTCCTACACAAACACTGCAGCTGAATAGTTCTGCAAAATATTGAGTAATAAGCAAATTGAACTGTGTATTTATAAATTAAAGTGCCACTAATTGGGAGCCCCTAGGCAGCCAGGACTAGGAAAAGAGAATCAAAATCACATCCTTTCCTTTATATTTAGATGCTTTCTTGGGCCTGCATATGCTTGTAGTTGGCTAATTTACCCATAAGAATTTCTCCTTTACCCCAGGAAAAAAAAATCATCTGCAATTACAGGGTTATCTACTACAAGAATGCACATAGCACTCTCTTTCTTTATCCTATAGATGATGCAAGAGGGGCAGTTTCAAGAAAAGGCTCTTTAAATTCTCCATAAACCACACCAGGAATAACTGTAAATATCTGCTGGAAGATCTTTAAAGTTCCTAAATCTCCCCCATGTTTGTTTACAACATCTCCTCATAGCACCATATAGTTCAGCATACAAACTCAAACCATTTCAGAGGAGCTGAGGGTAAATAAAGACTCTTTTGGCACAGAACTCCATCCTCCATGAGCTCCCAGTGAGTGCTTTTCCTTGTTTACTCCTGAGACAGCTAAAGCTGAAAGATTGGATTTCAGAGCTTCCAAACTTTACTACTAGCTTAAGAGACATCATTTCTTCTCTCACCTTTCTCCTCACTATTTTCTTGTCCAAACCACCTCTCCCCATCTCTGTATCACAGCAAAAGGAAAAAAAACAAAACCAAACATATGAAAGCACAGCACTTTAAAATATATATATTTTTTTTTAATTATCATTTTTCTTCCAGCTACTCAAGACTTCTGAGCTCTTGGGACCTCTTATTTGCTGAGGCTGTAATACACTTTATACAACAGCTTACAAGCCGATTACGAGTTTGACATGGGAACATTCAACCCCATCCTAATAGCCTGGAGAGATCTGCCTGAATGTTCAGAAATGCTTGTTTGATAAACAGTATTCTACTTTTTGAATGTTTTCAAGCAAACCGATTTATATCTGGGATTTAGCTGAGATGAATCTTTTTAGGACATGATGCACCTATGTTCCATAATTCTGACTTCTGCTCTTTTACCATTACTCATGGACTAAAAAAAAAAATGATCTGAACTAACCCCCCCTGTTTCCTTTTGAGGTTAAGCAGGGAGGCCATGTGCCAGCAGCTTCTCACAACAGGACCTCCTGCCCCCCATAATCCCATACAGCTGGAGGCATGTCCTCAACATGGTCCAACACACAAGTCTCACACATCACATTTCTGATCATTTGGGACACCTGCCTTCAACATAGCCCAGAAAGATTGGTCTGACTAACCAGCCCCCATTGGCCAAAGCAGGCTCCTTGCCCTCCACCTGCCACAGGACAAACCTAAATATTATTTTAAAATTCTTTACCAAAAGACTTAAGTAAACACCTACCACTGTCAATCTGAGACAGGCTCCATACTGCTGCCAAAGTTCATCCATGCCTAAAAATAAGCCTGATGTGGCAATCAAAATGTGGCCAGAAAAGATGTTAGCCACTTCATTCCTTATGCACTATTCGTTACAGAAACCATAATGCACTACACTGAAGCTCAGAAAGAGCCTTTGATCTTTATCTACACAGAGGAGAATGTCACTTTTAGAATTTGCCTTCAGATTGAGTCAGTAAAAACAGGGCATAGACTTAAGGGCTTACGCTGCAACTTAATGGTGGTTTTGATGAGGTTTTAAACTGGACCAGTAAAGCACTGCATGTCTGAGATTTTTACTTACAATACATAAAGCTTTAACTTCACATTCCCAGGGACTTTCCATTTATTTTTTTTTAATAAAGGCTCATCATAGGTCTTTGGGACTCCACTTATGTTTCTGAGTTATATCTGATGTATGCACAAGACCAAAGAACTTTCCTCTTCGTGCTGCATCCAATGTGCAGAAAAGAGCCAGATGCCTTTGGAAGAGGCAGCAGAAGAGGTTGTGCTGGCTCCACACCACAGCAAGGCTCAGACATGGGGCAGTAAGACTCAGTAATCCTCGAGTGGAAAGGCACTGCAGAAGGAATTGCAGGGAGCATTTTAACTCCCCATTTCACCCAATGCTGAAGTATTTGCTGTTATTACAGTTATACATCTCATGACTCTTGCAACGTGGAGTTTGTTGCAACATTTCTTTTCCCCAAAAAAAGCCTTTCCTGTCCCCATGATTAAGTACACAAATAACATTCACAGTGTAAAGTCTGTTTTCATTTGTTTGTAGTTTTCAAAATAATTCCCCTTAGGGGCTGAAATGTTCTAAGTTTGGTCTCAGCCCAGAGGCAATATTTTCCCCCCTTCCTTCAGCCAGCTTAGAAACATGCATTTGGTTTCTCTTCAGCAGTGGGAAAGTGAGAAAATAGATGATTCGGCATTTAAGACTCTTTCTTTCACGGGTGTTCAGAGACTGCCTTGGGGAAGAAGGAGAGGGGAAGCACGGGGGTGGCAGGGTAGGAAAAACAAAACATGAGATGTGAGCACTACACGGAGGGACTGAGGGAATAGCAAGATCGGTCCAGTTGTAATCAATTAAATAACTTCCTAGATAATGTAAAACAACTCTATAAAATTAGTCCTCAAATTTCCAGAGAAGAAAATTGCCTGGGCTCAGCCAGACTCAGGATGCAAAGAGCCAGATCTTTTAGACAATGCTTGATCAGGAAGCAGTCAGAGAGATCTTTGTGTATATAACATATAACATTTGGTATCTCTGATCTCCATCATAGTGTTACCAAAAAAGAAGTGTGACTAAGAAAGCCTGAATGCTACATCAGTATGGCTATCCAGCCCTCTCAGCCACAAGACTTTAGGGTTATTTTCTTTTCACAGGTCGTCTTTTATTTCATGCCCATCATAGGTGACTATTTTAAGGGGCTATGGAGAGGTGCTGAATGCTGATAAGGCAAATCCTCTATCCCTTAATCCACTGCTAAATCACTCTGCCAGGCTTCAAGGGTACCAGACAGATGGAGTGCACTAGGAAACTGCCCACAGGCTGGCTACTTCAACCCCAGCTCATCTTTAATCCAGGAAGGTTTTGTTCTGGTATTTTAATCATTGATTGACTGCGAACTTTCTTCCATGCTGGGTTAGGTAAAATATCCATATGTCAGAGGTACTGGGGAATTTGTGAGGCTGTAGGTCATAGGAGTGGTGTGAGACAGGATGCGTCTCAAGGGAACCAAGGAAGCCATAAGGAATGTAAAAAGTCACAGGGTTAAAGCCACATTAAGACAGCTGTTATGTTAATGAGAGTTCTGCTTTTCTTCTAGCTGTGGGTCATTGATTTAGAAAAACATGAACAAGGTTTTTTTCATTTTATCGTATTTTTCCACTGAAGCTAAAATAGCCAAAAATATCATAACCTAGATCCCATTTGTCCTGCTACCAGAACTTATGTAGGAAGTGATCTTTATTATGTTTGTACATAGATGATTCCCAGGGCTTAGTCTTACCTGGCCCAAGTCTATACATGAAGCTGTTTTGCAAGCATTTTACTTGGCAAACATGTTAAGAAAAGAGTCATGCACCACTGGGTTTGCCTTCCAGACAAATTCATCCATACATCTGATTTTCTCTCAGAGTCATAACAAACATTTTACAAGAAATGTGGTGTGAAGTCTTCAGCTAAAGCATTCAGCAGGTAAAACTGAAAAAGTCTGGATCTTTCAAGACAGATACCCAGTAATACAGGCATGGTGCAGTAAGTGTGCTTGTTCTAAACTCCAAGGGATATTTTGCACTGTGTATTTCAGTCTGCAGAGTCTGAATGTCTCAAAGTGATCTCCAAAGGAGATCAGCAAAATTCACCTGTATCCTTGGTTAGATCACAAATTACCACTCATTTCTCTTCCTTGGTTAGGTCACGAGCTACAACATTTTGCTTGTCATCCAGCTGCATATTTGCTTTTGAACACTTACAGCTCAGACTGATTTAAACTGGGCATGCTTTTTCAAATTACTCTTAGATGTCAAGTAGTGAAAGAGCAGCAGAGATTCTGCCTGTGGTATTAAACTTCTCACAGGATATGCTTCTGTGCTGTGAAATGGAGTAAGTCCTAGTCTGAACTTGAACTCCTGTGTGTAGTTTATTCTACAGTTATTTGGCTCTTATTTGCCTATTCTTGAACATCTGAAAATCCACATTCATGCCTTTCTTAATTTAAATCAACTCCATGGTTTACTCCTCCAGCACATTAGCTTGTTTTGGACAATCCAGATCTACTGAAGTTCTCTAGACCTAGCACTTGTTTGAGGGCTTATTTTCCTTTTAATTAAACTGACAGTGGGGATAAAAAAGATATCACAAGGTTTAAATCAAGTCAACTTCAAAAGCAAACCTAAAAGTAAACTGCAGATCCCACACCAGTAACCCTGCTCACTTGCATGGCTCTATAGACACATTGTCCTTTTCAAAATGCTTTTTTCTTCTCTGCTAATGCCTGAACGACCCAAACAACAACAGATGAAATCAGTTAAATAACTATAAACTGGCACAACAGCTGACCTGATTACATGCAGAGTGCTGTCAAATGCATAAAATAAACAAACTGGGATAACAGACATTCTTTTCCTAAAGCTCACTATTATATTCATGGTAGGTATGGAACAATTACTGGGGAGAAAACAAAGCTTTTTTCAAAGCAGTTGCTGCCTTAAAAAGTTGGAAAACCAATGTCTATGTACAGATGAAAAACCCCCTAAGGCTTTAAACAATGTAGCTTCACTTTTTCTCTCTACCCCAGGACAGGATCACATGAGAAAATAAAAGGACACAACATGCTATCAGAAAAGATAATTCCCTTTGTTAGGCAGCTTTTAAGTACGTACCTGGACACGAGCCTCGGTGAGTTTGGCTCTTTGTGCAAGTTCCTCCCGGGTATAAATGTCAGGGTAGTGTGTCCTCTCAAAGGCTCTTTCCAGCTCTTCCAGTTGCTCTGCTGTGAAGGTTGTCCTGCTGCGGCGCTGCTTTCTTTTTAAAGGTAAATCTGGTTCAGAATCGATGTCAGAGCCTTCGTCAGACTGGGGTGCTGATGCTCAAATAGAGAAAAAAAAATTAAAGACAAAAATGAGCCTTAGTTGAGAGGGAAAAAAATAAAATATTGGATTATTGGATCAACTGGTGATTTCGTCTTATACAAAAAAAAAAAGCTGCTTTTCCCCCATGACTCAGAACTAGGTTAGTAAACTTCAAAAAATTTAGAAATTATTCAGACTTAAATGTTACGTTGTGAAAACGTACTCAAAGTACTGTCAGAAGTTTAACTAGGAGTTTAGCACCTTCTCCTGGCCCACAAATGCCTGAGGACCTCTAGGAATCTTCTTCAGAAAATAAATTATTTCAACTCCTCCAGCAGTTTACAAGTGTTTTAAGAATTTGAGCAGTACTGCTTAGTCCCAAGCAATCAGATACAAATACAGATACAAATCAGATAAAGAACAGATACAAATATTTGTGTCACCGGTGTGCATGTTGTAACTTAAATACTCCAACTCTATAGACACACATTCGTGAGACCTTCCTATAGGCCTACCACTAAAACCTTATTGCTGAAATGGTTATGGAAGTGATTACAAAGGTAGGAAGAATGTTGTGTAAGAAATTTCATTCTCATACACAATATTGATTTCATGTCATGTATATTATTGCTCTTACACTCTGAATAATATTTTACTTGTTTGTGTTAGCATGTCTCAGCAAATTTAAACATTCCCGTATCTGCAACTTACTTGCCTGTTTGGGGACCACCTAACATGACCTTAAGACAGGCAAGACAAGTGTTAAAACTGGAAATTAAGTAAAATTTGACATTCACATTGCACAGAGAAGTCCTATAAGAATAGCTCAAAGCAATAATTTTACTTGACTTTTCCAGTTACTAAAGTAAGAGGATTCCAGCCGATGTCATGGCCAGCCTCCAGGGAACGCTCCAGGACACAACTGCAAAACAGCCAGGCTGTGTTGGACCACGGTGTCCCTGACACCCTGCCCCAAGTCAGTACTTAGAGCAAGCTGGCAAGAAACACCATGTACAGCATGTCCATCACTCAGGAAGGGGCTACCAACTCTTGCCATCAGCAGTTTAAAGAGAAATCAGAATCAAATCTCCTACTGGGTTTCTTGGATGGGGAGGGAGTGAGATCATACATGCAGCCAGCTCCTGGCATCACTGCTTGTTTCCCCCTGTGCTCCCTGGCAACCAAGTGGACTCCAGCTACAGCCAACCACAGCTGATCTCTAACTGTGCAGGCAGCAAAGCCTTTTCCAGTACCTGACAACATTCTCTTTCTCCGACATGAACCAAAAGAGTAGACTTTCAAAGAAAGTTTTCACTTGCATCAGCTGCTGTCCCAAACCACAAGCCTTCCCTCTTCCCAGAGTCTTCAAGGGAAACTACCTAAAGAGGGCAGACACTCCCCAGTGACGCTGAAACTGCTTGTTCAGTTGAAACACAAGCATTGCTTCCACTACTCCAACAGTTCCAAACAAATTCTTGATATAGGCATTGATTTAAAATAACCTTCTTAACGTGATTTATTTGAAAGTGATTGAGAACACAGAGCCAGGAAGAAACAACTGCTTTCTCAAGCTCCAACTAAACCCCCCACCATATTCATGTCTAGCCATCTTACATTTCCAATTTCATCCAAGCTGTTTGAACTAATAAATACACTTAATCTCTTTACTTGGTGTTGTACCATGAGAAAGACAAAATGCTTTTTCAGAAAACTCAGCTGAAGAGTTTATTCTTTTCTGCATCCCCAAAAAAGAACAATTACTGCTAGACCAGGGGATCTTGTTTGAAAGCTGCCTTCATTGTCCAGACATTATCAATATCTTGTACCCAACATGCATAGGAGATCAGGAAAACTTCCATGTTGATTAGCACTGATATACTGTGAAAAAGCCAAACTCTCAGTCTCTTACTTGCAGGGAAATTTTGTCCCAGGTAAGACTGGATTAAGCTATTCTGGTTCTTAAGAATATTGTCCTCAAGAACAAAGGAGAATAAACTTCTGTGTAGGTAAGAAGCCTAGCTAAACACAAATTAGATATACCTCAGCCTTTAATAAAAGCAGTGTTTATTTATATATGCTCAATAGCTTATTGCCCTTTTGCTAAGCAGTACCTCACTGATAGATCCACTGATTTCCATGATACAAAAAGATAATACTCAACACAGGTAAAAGTGGTCAGATTTTAGCTGGACTATGTGTATCCCCATCACCTCCACAGACAGACAACACACATATCACTAACCTTTACAGTTGTCTTAATGATCTCAATACTCGAAGCCCTCAAGCTATAAATAGGAGAAACAGGAGTTGGAAAGACTGATCAGTACCCTGGGAAATCCCAGCCAGAGTCCTGGGGATCACTGCTTCCCACCTCACTGCACAGCACGGCTCAAAATGGGACAGGCAGCCAAAACCACTACCAGTAGCTGAGACATGAAGTTTAATTAAAGCAGGAATTACAGAATTAAAAAGTAATTATTTGTCCCTTAACCTCCTTCACCACCTGCCTGGTGGCCTGAGGAAAAGCTACCTGCTGGTTATCACCACAGAATGCAAAAAACCTGTGCCCAGTGTTGGAGGCATTTGGTCACCTGGAGCTCTGCAACCATCGCTTTTCCAAACACTGTAAATAGACATGTCAGGGCAAAAAAAAAAAAAAACAAACAACAAAATCATGCCCAAGAGGTCATTCTGTAGGTTGTTCTTCCTCTCAGCAAGACATTTCATTTGAATAATTAAATAACAAAAACATGACAGCCATTTAAAGCTCATACATAATGGCTGCAGCGCAAGCACCTGACCAGGCCAAGAGGGTCTGTCCATGACCTGCAGGGAGACGGCTCCTCTGGCAGCCCTTCTGTCTCTGTGACACTTTTTTAAATACAATTTTACACAGCCTTTTCCTCTGAGCATAACAGCCTGGGGTCTGCCCTAGACAAATACTGCAAAGCCACGGATCTCGCTGTAATAAGAATAAAGAAACCCAACATACCGAAGTTCGGGGAAGGTGCTGGTGGCGGTTTTATTTGCTAGCGGCCCTCCCCCACTCTTTC